TGCCATTGATCTGGCTCTCAGTGTTTCCCTTAGGTGACATAGGACATTAAATACTTAGCATGAAACTTCTATATGTCAAGCATAGCTAATCTGAGGGCCCTGTTCCTATCAACGTGGTCCCAGGTTCCCATTTACTTGACAGCATGGCTACATAGCAGGTAGAACACAGAAACAGTGGGGCAGAGACTTTGAGGTGCAGAATGGGATGGTCTGCTTGCTCTAAACTAGCATGCTCTGTTCCCCTTTGTGCCCATACTTTAAAGCCTCAGGATGCTTCTCTGTCATAGTCCTGTTTTCTGGAGAGAGGACCCACAAAGACTGAGGGAAGTTCCCTGAGGTCCTTGTGAATGGTGAGTTTTACAGAGAGTTCAAGACTGTTAGGGAAGTGGGGGCATTTGTTTTTGGTCCCTTCCTCTCCCTCCTTCCTACTTTCCTCCAGGCCCTTAGGGCTTGGTACCTCTGGCTATTTATAAACTCCCAGTTCCTTGCTCTGCTGGAGCCTTCTTTATCTAGCCCCAGGAATTCCATTCAGTTCAACCTATTTATTGAGTGGTCCTTGCAAATAAGGCCCTAAGTATGCACTCTCAAATAAACTCCTATGTTTCCTTTCTATATTCTCTAAGTACATCTCATCTAGATGATAGGAAGATTGAATGAATTTATATTAATATGCAATGATATATTGAATCATTTATTTAGTAAATATTTATTGAGCACCAGCAACAACCATATACTTTTATAAGAAGTGAGATTGCAGTGATTGAAGTTCCCTGGTCCACTTGGCTAAGTTGCATTCTAATGGAAGAGACAGACAGTAAACAAATAAATATATAATATGCCATTACAGTAAATGATTTTTTTTTTTTTTTTGGTGATAGGGCAGGAAGAGTATGTGTACATGTGGGTGGTTGGTGAGGGGTGGAGTGGGGAGAAGAGGATTATTTTAAAAAGGCTAGTCAGGAAGGGTGCCTCTGAGGGGAACTGATATGTCATAATGGTGGGGGACACTTGGGCAGAGACATGGAGTTAGAGAGCGCTCTCTTATTAGTAGGATTTCCGGTTACCTGAACTTATTATCAAAATTAATAATGTGAAGATTTGGATGGGATTTGTAGGTGGAGGCTTCTCTAGAGTAGAGCTGTAAACCAGAGAGTGGCACCATATGGACACTGCTGTCTTTTGCCAGTCACGTT